AAGAAGAAGGATGAAATTATATAAAAAAAAAGAAAAAAAAAAAGATAAAACAAAGAACAAAAGATAACCAACATTGTAGAGCACTTATGAACACAAATTTTAAGGAAACCGAGAATAACAAAACTATAAAGCACGACAAATAAAATGAAAACAATGATGAAATTCTATGAAAAATAAAAAAGATGAAACAAAAGGAACAACAAAAGCTATGCAAGTGGAAAAATTTTGGTAGTATAAAAAAGGGAAGTTAAAGATAACCCTTGGAACCAACTTTCTAAGCATGCCCACTTTTTAAATGATATCACCAACATTAATACTATTTATTTTTACATCCATCCCCTCAAGTAAAATAGTAAAATATTTTAGACAAAAATGCCCCTCTAAACCCATATTGTTTGCACGCAGCCCACCTCATTTGTTAAAATGAAGCCATGTGTCAAACCGGTTTTTGTCCTATTAAAACCGGGCCAGCACATATCGTGTCCAAACCAACTTCATTTTAACTAATGAAGTTGATCTTATGCAAAGTGTGCCAGTCGGACTTCTTGTACGTATTAAAATTGGTACAACACATATTGTGGATCGGGAGGGGCAGAAGGTGCAAAATATGTGGATAGGGAGGGGCATTCATCCTAAAATAATAATAATAATTTTTTACTTGGTGGGCTAGGTACAAAAATAAATAATATTGGGATTAGTGTATCAAGGGCCTGGTTGAAAAACTTTCAAAATCTGTCTTTTTCTATATTTGTTTTAGATCCGTCTTCTTTTGATCGTATTTTCTATAAAAAATGTTCAAATAGAAAGGATGATTCTTTGCCCGTTGAAACAACCTATCTCCATGAAGAAACACCCACGGATGTCCATGAAGACGTCTGGAATGTTTAGAAGGTGGTTACAACACTGTTGCACACTTAAAATTCCAAAAGGGAACAGCCAAGGAAACATTAGACCTATTGTTAGTACAAAAGAAAAAAAGGTGATAGAGATTTCAAATATTAGAAGCTTATGAATAAGTGGAAAACTTGGTGGACTAATGGTCAAATTTTATTGCATGTAATTCAAATTACTTTTTTATGTATTAAAAATTGATATCTATTTTTTAAAACTTTATGTATGTAATTTTGACCTTTTTTTTTTTTCAGTCAATGATCAACTAACTATTTTTATATTATAAATTAACTCGATGATTTTTTTGGTTGGGGACATTTGGGTTTCTTTCTTTTTATTGGGATTTCCACATGTTTTTTTACATGGCTTTTTGGGTCTTTGAGAAAATTATTTTTACTCGAATTTTAAAGAAATAATATTGTCAATTTTCTTTGTAATTTAATTTCTCAAAAATTAAATTATTTTATGTGTGTTCATACTTCTAATATTTATTTATTAATATTTTAATAATTATTGACTAATTATTTATATGGATGTTTGAAAAAAATGGATTGTCTTAACCCAATATAAATAGGCCGCTAGCTTTGTTTCTTTCTTTCCTAAAAATTTATAAATCTATGTATAATTGTTTTATGCTTCAAAGTTACTTTTATGAGCAAATTTTTAGTATTCTGAATTACAAATTTTTTATATTTCAATTCAATAAATTTTCTCTTTTCCAATATTTTGAAAACTAATATAATTTTAAAATAAAAAAAATTAGATCTCCATTATAGACCTTGAAATAGATGTGGAAAAAAGAAGGGAGAATCTCTAATAACTGCGGTGAAAGGGAATCTGCAATATCTCAATTCATTTTTAAATGAAGGTACCACAAAGAAGAGAACATAGTAAAACCCAAAATGGAATGAAATAAAAAAGAAAAAAAAAATCCCAAATCCCTTTTCATTATCGTCAAATGAAATTGGCAGTAATGGAGAGAGAGGGTGGCTGCATCACTGACGATCATTTCATCCAACTGTGATTACTTCAATGGACTATGGTATACCATAGTCCACATAAGACTATAGTGAACTTTCTAAAGAGATAGGGAAACCACGCTATAATTCAACTATAAAAATAAAAAAAACCATAATTCATTGGGGCATCACCTTCCAATAAATTATAAAGGAAAGTATTAGATAAAACTATCTATTTTTTTGGCACAAAGGGGTCACAACCACAAGTGGCCATTAGATGTAAAATCAAGTGGTTGAGAGTATATCATTTACCAATATTCAAAATCATTTACCAATATTCAAAATTTCTCGATCTCTATGACATACCCAAGCCGTCGGATTCAACCTCTGATGGATAATAATAATTGTGACCTTTTAGTATCATAGATAACTGGTCATATAATATACAATCCCTTATTGTAAAGGCCGCAATTAATACGAACACTTAACATGCAAAGTTGTCGCAATGTAGTCAAATATTGTGCAGCAAGGCTTGTCCAATTTTGGTATTCAATAAGTTTTGATTAGTGTATAGCTCTATTGACATCACAATTGTGAAGTCAAATCTATAAAATTGTAAAGTTAAAAGGAGATCATTAATAAGTTTTAAGTTACTAGTGCTTCAGTTATAAATGTTGCCCTTTTGGCTAGGTAGTCAGCAACCATATTTGTCTCTCTAAAAACATGAAATATTTGTTACGGGTGATAACAAAGGAGAAAAGCTTTGTTCTACAGTTGGACATGAGTATGGCAGTCCCATGGGGATGACCTATGGTTCGATAAGGAATCAACAAGCAGTTTGGAGCTGCTCTAAATGATTAGTGGCCGGTAATTTATTTTCTATGGTAGGGAGATGCTCCGATCCAAAGCATGAAACTTAACAGCATTATTCGAGGTGGTACTTAAAGGAACTGCAAAGGCGGTGATGGTATCATTTTATATGGTCTCCCACACTGCATATTGCCCGCGTTATGAAGGGAGTAACTGTTCCTGTTGACCTTGAAGTAACCATTGGGAGGGAGAGACCATGTGATCTGGACCAGGGTAGAAGGGGACTCTATATGCCACTTGGTTTGGCACTCAAATTGATGTTTTCTTCTTTTTCTTTTTTTGAAAAGAGTTTATATAAGGTTGACACCTTAAAATGTAGAATTAAGGTGCACTTTTAAAATCTTTTGAAAAATGCTGTTTTAATGTTCGAAAAATAACTAATTGATTATCTAGACATCGAGATATATAAATATATATATAAAAATAGAGATTTCAAGTTCTAAAAATAATACATCTTGCAACATATTATTTGGATTATCCGTTTTTAATATTTTCATGCTTTTAAAGATCTGCCTGATTAGAATATTTCTAGAGTTTAAAATTTATAAGTAGATATAAACTAAGATTATCGCACCATCCTAAAAATTTTCAACACCAAAATTACATCTTACGAGAGGGGGAAGATTCATGAAAATTATTGTTCTCTATAAAATTGGCATGCACAAATTTTTAGGAAGCATCTCCTAAATTTGAAACGCACAAAATTTAGGGGGCATCTTGTAGCACATAAGATTTGTAGTTATCTAGTAAATGATATATCCTACAATATTTATTCATTTGAAATAGATTACCATAAAGGAAGATGTCATCTTCATCTAAAATTTAAAAAAACTTACATATTTAGGCAAGATAAATATTCAACTATCTATCTCATTGATTTTTTGCTCATCTCATTCTCTCACGCACTCAGATAAATATTCAACTACCCATCTCATTGATCTGGAGGGACAAAAAATAATGTAGTATAGTATAAATATATAGATATGAAAAAAGAGATGGCTTAATGATGTAGTATAGTATACTGATATAGATATGAAAAAAGTTTATATAAAGTTACAATTTTAAAATGTAGAATTAAAGGTGCACCTCAAAAATCCATCATAAAAAGTTGTTTGGATGTTGGAATCTTGACATCGAGATGTATGATATGAAAATAAAAAAATTTCAAGTCTACGAAATAGTGTATCTTGCAACACATTATCACGACCATCAATTTCAAGATTTTCATGTATTTATTGATCTATTTGATTTGAACTATTTTTAAAGTTTAAAATTTTATAATTAGAGATGAGAATAGATTCTCAAACCATCCTAAACATTTTTTATATTGGATTATTTAAAATTAAAACCTTATGCAAACCACTTATATAAATGCGATAAGTGCCATTAAATCACTTGTGGAATAAGAGTCTTTCGCGATGCCTTCCAAAACATCACGATGCATTGGCATTCTACGGAAGAAACGGGCTCTTATTGTCAATAAATCAGAGACGTTCATATTGGACACGTGTCTTGCAGCAGACCGCCTTATATGCCCGATGTAAAATACTAGAAAGTTCCAAGGAGGGGAAGTAATTACACGCTGTATAATTATGGAAAAGTTTGTTTTTGAAGAAACTGACTCACTCTATTTTTGTGCGGTCTCTCTATAAATATATATCAAAGATATATTTTCGACCCAAAATTTTAGGGTTGGATAATAATCTAAATTGGACAAAAATTTAAAAAATATAAATATTAGTTTTTGAAATTTCTTTTGCCTCGTCTATTTTGTGTTTGGAAAAAGTTTATATAGAGCCGAGGCTCTAATTAATAAAATTAGAGCTGACCTCAAAAATTTTACTAGAAAGGTTGTTTTGATGCTCAAATGTCTTCAAATTAATCATCTCGACATCAAGATGCATGAACATAATAAAAAATGGATTTCAAGTTTTGGAATAGTCTATCTTGTAACATATTTTTTGACCGTCAATTTTCAAGATTTTTAAGCTTTTATAAATATACTCGATCTACACTATTTTTGAAGCTTTAAATTTTATAATTAAAAATAAAATTATATTTTAAAATTAGTACAAAGATTTTCAGCATTGACACATTATTTCTATAATTAGATATAAAATAAATTTTCAGATAATTCTAAAAAAATTTTAAACCAAATTTACGAAGTTATAATAAAATTTGGGGGTACGCCTAAATTAGATTGTTTAAAGCTGCAACCTTATAGAAACCACACCCGTAAAGAAATGGAAAACCATACGTAACGGAGCGTCGGTGAAAGCAGTTAGGAGGGAAGGAAGGGGGTTTTGATTTTTAAAATATTTTAATCTTTTTTCAAAAAATAAAATAAAAAAATAGAAATATAAATTTAATTCCCAACGCACAAATAAGAAAGCATATAGTTGTTACTACGCCAGATTCCATTCTTCTTCTTCTTTGTGCGCCTTTTTACTGGGTTTCCAGAAACGGCCCTTTCGCCTCCCTTTCTTTTCTCTTTCTTACCCTTCGCCTTCTCATTCTCCCCTTTAAGGTATGTTCTGTATTTTCTTTTCTTGTTGTTTTTTGATTGGTTTATGAGGAATGTAATTGAAATTTTGTTAAGGAATATGGATTTTTTTGAAGGAAAATGGAGTTTACTTTTTTTGTTTTTGTTTTTGTTTTCTGGTTTGGAGTTTGTGCATAGGGTTTAGCTACAGGGCGTGTAATTAATATGAGGTTGTGTTCAATTACATGCATTTTTTAATTTGTTTATGGGTTGGAAGGAATTCAGTTCGAGAAGTTTATCGATTTTTGTTCTATGTAGTGTGCTTAAGATGATTCTTTTTTTGTAATTTTTGTTGTGAAAATTGGCTGGAGTTATTGGTTGTTCTTCTTCCTCCTCTTTTTACTTTCTTTCTTTCAATTATCATCTTGTGGCACATGATATGGGTTTGCGTGAGATGAATAAATTGTTGGAGATTCTGTTGTTTGAACTAAGTATAATTCTCATCCATGGACATTCTTGTGTTCTTCTTTGGTTTGTGGAAAAGGGATATGAATTGGTTCGAGAGTTAGTTGTCGAACTGGATCATGAATTAACCTTTCGCTTTTTTTTTTTATGTGGCTTTCGCTTTTTTCTACTTTCTTAGGTGTTTGTTAGTGAATTTAGGACTGCTTGCTTTCTTTGCTTGTTGATTTTTCAAACAGAGAGAGAGAGAGAGAGAGAGAGAGAGAGAGAGAGAGAGAGAGAGAGAGAGAGAGAGAGAGAGAGAGAGAGAGAGAGAGAGAGAGAGAGAGAGAGAGAGAGTAGTAGTAGTAGTAGTAGTAGTAGTAGTAGTAGTAGTAGTAGTAGTAGTAGTAGTACGTAGTAGTAGTAGTAGTAGTAGTAGTAGTAGTAGTAGTAGTAGTAGTACGTAGTAGTAGTAGTAGTAGTAGTAGTAGTAGTAGT